TCACATTTATTTACACCTATGTGCACCAAGAATTCTAGAAACTGTAAAAGTGGCACAAAGCCCCATATCAGATGATCTAGGTATTGAGGCCTAGCTTGGACACCACCTCCATCTCCCCAGTTCAACCCAGATGTTCCCCAGAGGGCAGAACACCAGATTGATTATCAGGCAGGACTCTTCTCTCAGGGACACAGAAATGTGTATATACGTGGGGAAAAGAGGAGAATGGTTTCTTGCTATTTGTTCAAGGGTGGTGTTAGGGATCAAACCAAGTGCCTCATGCATGCTAGACAAGCACTCCATCCCTGAGCCACAGCCCCAGCCCACTACAATAGTTTTTGTTTAAGTTTAGAAAGGAAGCACGTCAAATTGAATGAGAAGTTAGTTGAGGTGGTGCACACCTGGAATCCCAGCACTGAGGAGGCTGAAACAGCGGGATTGCCATGAGTTTGAGGCCAGCTTGGACTACACACTGAGTTCAAGGACAGCCTGAACTACATAGCAAGACCCTGTCTCAAAAAACAACCGAACAGCCAGGCGTGGTGGCGCACGCCTATAATCCCAGCACTCGGGAGGCTACAGCAAGAAGGATCGCTGTGAGTTCGAGACCAGCCTGGTCTACACAGTGAGTTCCAGGTCAGTCTCAACTACATAGTGAGACCTTGTCTCAAAAAAATAAACAAACAAACAAAATTGAATGAAAGCCTAGAGTAGTGGCCTATAGTCCTGGCTACTCAGGAGGCCAAAACAGAAATCACTTGAGCCCTTGAGTAGTCTGCGCAACATACCATAACACCCTACTTCACCAAAACACTGGATGAGAAAAAGGAGCACAATAAAATAACCAACCCCTGGGCATGGTGGCTCATACCTATAGTCCTTGCTGCTTGCAGACTGAGGGCAAGAGGATCACTTGAGCTCAGGAATTCAAAGCCAGCCTTGACCCCATCAAAAACAAAAACAATGTACCACTTGCAAAAAGTCCATGAAAGTTCTCATCAAGTATGCCCAAAGCCCCTGCTAGCCAAACACAAGAAGCTCTCAGCACATATCCCTGGGCCAACTCCCACCCCGGGTGTTAGTGGGCACAGATTTATCCCATTCCAACAGCCTCCTGCGTGGAGGCACCGGAGTTGCTGTAACCAGTCAGCTCACAGTGAGCAGTAGTCATTGGCAATTTTCCAGGATATGAACAAGGTGGTAAAGAATAATCTCACACAAGTATTTTTCTTTGCTGTACAACTATTTCTCAAAGTATAGCCCTAAAGGTAGAATTACTGACTCAACTAAAAAATATGTACACAGGGCCGGGGATTTAGCTCAGTGGTTCCAGCACCTGCCTTGCAAGCACAAGGACCTGCGTTCGATCCCAGGTACCTATATTACACACACACACACACACACACACACACACACTTTAAATTCTGATACTAGCTGAGAAACATGGCATTCTCAAATTCTGAGAAAATTTAGGTCACAGTTTTTTTGTTGTTTTTTGTTTTTTTTGTACTGGTACCAGGGATCCAACCCCAGGACCTTGTGCTTTCGAGGCAGGTGGTGGAACCACTGAGCTAAATCCCCGGCCCTTCTGAGTAAATTTAGGGGTAATTTATTCACAATGTGAAATCCAGACACATGACAAGCTTGCTTCACCTCCCACCTCACACCCCCTACTGAAGGTTAGGGAAGCACTCCAAGATTTATAGTCACTCATTTCCATTTCCCCAGCTAAGCAAACTTAGGGAGGACTGGCCCAGGGAACTGCCACTGGTAGGATCTGTGGGCTCTAATAAGCAGGTCACCAGTGGAGCCCCCAAAATGGCAGAGTCTGGCTCTCTGCACCACAGCACAATGCCTAGTACTGGTTCCCACAACACCCAGGGACGGTCATGACTTCACGCTCACTGGGTGATTCCGCCCCATGCATGCAGCGTCCCAGTAGCCAGGGCCCAGTTGGTTTTCTCCTTCTTACCTAGTACTGCCCAGGCCTCCCTTGTTCTGTCAGACAGCTGTGGATGGAGCACGACTTGCCAAGAAATTCTGGCTGCTGCCCTAGGGCTCAGTCTCCCCACTTGTGCAATAGAGAGAATCTGGTAGTATCACTGACACTTTGGACAGACAGCAAGCAGTATGCTCACTTTACAAAGAAGGCTGGCGTTTATGGAGACCAGGTGAACCTTAAATCATTTAATCAGCACCCTGATTGGTTAGGGCTCGCTGGGGGAGGGGGTTGGCTTCTGTTCCCAGAATTCTCAACTGCTAAAGGGCAATTAAAACCAAAAGCTAAAATTTTTTTTTTTGGAGTTCACAGAACACACCTGCAAATCCAGCACAAGATTACAACAGGCTGAGGCTGGAGAATCCAGAGTTGAAGGCCAGCCTGGGCTACAGAGCTAAACCATCTCAAAAACAAAAACAAATCAAAAAGACCTGAGCTAGCTGGGCGTGGTGGCACACCCCTGTAATCCCAGCACTCGGGAGGCTGAGGCAGGAGGATTGCTGTGAGTTCAAGACCAGCCTGGGCTACATAGTGAGTTCCAGGTCAGTCTCAACTACATAGTGAGACCCTGTCTCAAAAAAATCAAAAAAAAAAAAAAAAAAAAAAAAAGACCTGAGCTGTATACATAGGTGTGCTCCCTACTTGACAGGCTGAGGTAAAAGGCTCACTGGGGCTCAGGAGTTCAAGACCAGCTTGGGCATCATAGCAAGACCTCATCTTTAAAATAAAACATTAAAAAAAGATCTGGGCGTGGTGGCTCACACCTGTAATCCCAGTGTTTAGGAGATTGAGGCAGTAGGGTTGCTGAGTTCAAGACCAACCTGGGTTACATAGTGAGGTGAAGGCCAGCCTGAGCTACATAGGGAAACCCTGTCTCAAAAACAAACAGACCGACAATCACACAAAAAGAGAACAAAAGTTGTATTCAAGGCTGTTGATTTGTAAGCAAAGGACCCTAACTATCTGAGCCAACAGGCCAAGGAAAGGCCTTCCCAGATCTGAGTTTCACTGTGCTGGCTCGGGAATCCCTCACCAGGTATTTCATAGTGTGGATCAGAAAGAAGGAAGTGCTGGCGGGCAGTGGGAGGCCAAAGAAAGCCTGGAGCTGGGAAAATCGTAGTGGGTAGAGGAGGCAGGAGAAATCAAGCAGGACGACCTCTGAGAGCTCCCAACTGTCCCTCTGCTTCCGTCCAGGTCCAGGCACCATGGCGAAGGCTTGGGCTCTGCTGTCAGACCCACCTGGGTAGATGACACTGGTGGACACTGACTAAAGCAAATGCACAGCCTCCGTGGGGCTTCCGCGTAAATCAGCACCTACCCGATAACCGGCAAACTGCACGGGATTATGCCCTCGAAGCGCGGGCCAGCCTGGCTGCGTCATCAACGCTCCCTAGGCGCTGCCAGTTATCACCCCTGGTCGCCTCTCCAGGGCGTGACTGGGCTACCTGCTTGGGGTTGTGTCGGAGATGGCCTTCTTCCCGACTCCGTGGGCCCTGGAGAACCGGAGAGCCATCGCATCCTGAGCTGTCCCATATCAACTGGAGGTTAAGTCTCACGACTAAGTGTTCCTCAGTTTCCCAGCGCCAGCCGAGAACGGCTGCTGGGAGCACGCTAACTAATGTCGGGTCTGGCACTATTTGTCTTCGTAACGCCCCACCGCAGCAACTAGCACACAGTAGGCGCTCCGGAAACGCCCTCGGAGAGGAGAGGGCCACTTCCTGCCCCCAAGCGGACTGCGCGAGCTCGGTCCCACCGTTCGCCGCTCGAGGCCATGTGGCATTCCTGAGGGGGGTGGGCGCAGGAAGG